AAAAAAAAAAAGAATTAACAAAGCTAAAAATGCATTCTCTGAAAGGACAAGTTCCACATGATCTCACTCACATGTGGGCCATAAAAAAGTTGATCTCATAATATAAGTTGAGAATAGAATGGTGAATACCAGAGACCGGGGCAAGAGTCGGGGGCAGGGATGGACAGAAAAACGTAGATAAATGGATACTAACTTACAGTTAGATAGGAGTAGAAGTTCTAGTGTGCTACTGCACAATAAGGTAACTATAGATAACAATTATATACTGCATATTTTTAAAAGCTAGAAGAATTTGTTCATTACAAAAAAAATGATAAATACCTAAGACAGATATGCTTACTGATTTCAACATTGTACAATGTATACATGTATCAAAACATCACTTAGGTACCCGCAAAAAATGTATAATTTTTATGGACTAATTTAAAAATTAATAGGTAGCTATAATATACATATTAAAAAGCAATATTTACAAACACATATTCTGCCACCTATCTCTTAGAAGCATATAAACTTTCAGTTAAAAGAACTTGATAAACTGCTTATATATTGGTGAACATATTATTTACCTTTTGTTGATATAGTGAATCAAAGTATAAATAACATCTCGAAGAACAAAGGCCCAAGCTCCTCCTAAGCCACTTTTTATATCTTTTAGTAATAAACTAACAAACAGATTATATATTTTAAGAACTCTGTGCTTTTTATACACATTATTTGTCTCAGCTGCTTGCTCACATATGGCTAGAAGAATTTTCTGATAGGAATCCTAGAAAATAAATATACACTTAGTCAAACTTTTAAAATCACATATACTCAGTTATAACACATATTTTACAATACTTAAAATAAATTTAAATTTAGGTTTCATAGTAAATGCAAAACAGTACATTAAGATAATTACTATCTTAGAAGAAAGCTATTGCCAATTTGTTTAGGTTTCAGATAGTAAATTATAGTGCATTTTTATAAAAACTAAATATTCTCTTAAGTGTCACAAAATTCCAGCTTTGTAACAAATTTTAGTGTTGAAAAATACATCAATTATAAATTTTGCCAAATGATTGCTTTCCTTTTCAAATTATTCAGATGATTTTTCATTTGCTTACTTTCCTTTTTTTTTTTTTTTTTTTTTTGTGGTTGTGGGGCCTTATGCATGTAAAGCAAGCAGTCTACCAACCGAGCTATGTCCCCAGCCCAACTTTCCTTTTTTAAGATGTACTTACACAGATGTTCTAGCTGAATAAAGGAATTCTCTAATTATTAGGGCAGAAATGTATACTTACAGGGTTTCTGGAAAGAATTTCTAAAATGCTCTTAAACTTGGTTTTATGACAATTGCTGATATAAGCAAATGTTGCTTTAATCACATGTGATGGAAAATAAGGTGGATTAGGAGCAGGATCCAWATCCCTAAAAAAAGAGTTAAAGGGGAAAAAATGCAGTCATAATTTTCAAATTATCAAGAAAAAAAGGTTTTGTTGATAAAGCAGTAAACTTCCAAAATGGAAATTTAGGGGYGAGGGGTGCCATGGATTGAACCCAAGGTCGCTTTACCACTGAGACTCTCAGSTCTTTTTTTGTATTTTATTTAGAGACAGGATCTCTCTGAGTTGTTTAGAGCCTCACTAAGTTGCTGAGGCTGGCTTTAAACTCTTGATCCTCCTGCCTCAACCTCAGGCTCCTGAGCCTCCCAGGTCACATGGTGCCACAGTGATCGGCAGAACTCCCAAATTTTAAATCTATCTATTAGAAAAACCTATACTTTTAATAAAATTAAAAATGACATAGTTAATAAATATTAGAATATCTAAATGCACTTCACCCTGGGACTTAATCTTAACCAATTTACTTAAAATTATTTGCTTAATCTTTTTTATAATTAATGGCAGCTCCACAAATGAGTTTTAGTGTGACCTCATTTCAGGTTTGAGTTAAAGCTCTACTATTATTAGAAAAGCAATAGTATTTTAAGCTATGGCAATCTACTAGATAAGCAACATTAATTAGAATGAAATTACATATGTCAAAGTACTTTGCTAGATATTATTACTGTTATGGTTTGGCTYTGGAATATTCCCCAAAGGCTCACGTGTTGAAGAATTAGTCCCCAATGCAACAAAGTTCAGAGATGGGATTTAGGGAAGGTAATTGTATGATGAGGGCTCTGACYCCATCAGTGTATTAATAATTTGATGGCATTATTAGGAAGTGGTGAAAACTAAAGGAGGTATACTGAGTTAAAGAAGTGAGTCCTTAAGTATGTGCCCTTGGGGACTCTATTCTTGTTCCTGACCCCTTCCTCTCCCCTCTTTGGCACTGTTCTCCTTCTCCTATCTCTTTCTCTATGTCCTGGCTGTCATGAGCTGAGCAATTTTCCTCTGCTGTGCCCTTCTGACACCATGTTCTACTTCACCTCAAGCCAAAAGCAATGAAGCTAGCCTGAAACAGACTGAAACCTCAAAAACCATGAGCCTTCTCTTCCCTAAGCTGATTTTATCAGGTGTTTGATTTTTCACATTAACTAACATAATTACTATTTTATATGTTTAGCATGGTAGAATATATTAAAAAATACTAAAGGATATTTTCTGTTTTTTTTTGATACTAAGGACTGAACTCAGGATTAATCACTGAGTAACATCCCATCCCTTTTTAAATTTTTATTTTGGGAAAGGGTCTTGATAAGTTGCTTAGAGCCTAAGTTGCTAAGGCTGGCTTTGAACTTGTGATCTTCCTGCCTCCGCCTCCAGAGAAGCTGGGTAGGTGTGTGCCACTACACAGTAAAGGGTATTTTCAAGCAGTTTCCAGTCAAGTGAGGAAAATAACTTGAACATTCATATGCAACTAAATGGGTTGAAAACTGCTCAGCTCATGACAGGACGCAGAGAAAGAGGTGGGGAGGAGAAGGAGAACAGGGCCAAATTAAACAGTGCAGCTAAGGAGTATGATTCTGACAGTCAAGGAGCATGATAATGAAAAGGTGCTCTAGAAAGGGAAGTTATTAATAATAAGAGAAATAGCAAACCCATGGAGAAAAAATTTCAAAACACAACATGTGGCATAATGCTCAAATATTACAGAAAAATCGAGAAAAGAAAGTTTATTGGTTCTGCCATCAAAGAGTTCAACTAGAAAGAGTAATAACTGTGGGGAAATTACAGTATAAAAGCTCACAGGTAATTACTTCATATCAGAGGACCATTTTTAAAGAAACCAATTTTTTAAAAAGAGGACATGTCTAAAAACTGAAATAGACATCTGAATTTGTCAATCAATAAAAAAATTGGGGCTGGAACTGTGGCTCAGAGGTAGAGCACTCACCTACCAAGCATGAGGCCTTAGGTTCAATCCTCAACACCACATAAAAATAAAAAATAAAGATATTGTGTCCACCTATAACTAAAAAATAAATATTAAAAAAAAGCATAAGGAATTTGCAAGTTGTGCCTCATTCTCTAAATTTAAAATGTACATACCCTGAAAAGTCACAGGCATCAGTGYTCTGGCTGGCACCAGAATCTGCTGTTTCATGTAACGACATCAATAATTCCACCACAATCTCTGGTAAATTACTAATAAATAAATGATCAATCTGCAAGGACACAAAATTAATTATATTTAATATTTTTTATCTGTAACATTTAAGACAACACAAAGGGCTTACGTTATTCAGACATATAGCAAGCTTATCTTTTTCTTCTATTCAGCCAACCTGAAACCATGAAATAGAGAAATTCTACCAAATAAAGCCTCCTTAATCCAATTCTGTAATTTTAAAGGATTATTTCAACTAAGACTTTGAATATAGCATTAAATTCCCCAAACTGGTAATTCTCCTACCAAATTCCCTTCTGATCTATACTATACCTGAATCTGCATTTTTTTAATATTTATTTTTTAGTTGTAGTTGGACACAATACCATTATTTTATTGATTTATATGTGGTGCTGAGGATCGAACTCTGCATGTGCTAGGCAGGCGCACATGCAGCCCCAACCCCAGCCCCCCTCAATCTGCATTTTACTCTCGATTTATATGAAAACTCACAGAACTTTACTTGGAAAATTTTCCAGGGACTATGATAATGCCAACTTTGTGCCCCAAATGACTTCTCCCCAGAACTCTACATGGGAGATATCCAAATTCTGAGGCTAGCTGCTACCTATATTCCATTTCATCAATAGTATACTAAAGCTGGGCATGGTGGCCCACACCTGTAATCCCAGCTACTTGGAAGGCTGAAGTAAGTTCAAAGTCAGCCTGGACAACTCAGCAAGAACCTCTCTCAAAAATAAAAATAAAAAGGCAAGAAATAATTAAAATCAGAGATGAAATCGAAACAAAAGAAACAATTGAATGATTGACAMAATTAAAAGTTGGTTCTTTGAAAAAATAAATAAGACTGACAGACCCTTAGACATGCTAATAAAGAAGAGAGAAAACCCAAATTACAAGCATATGTGATGAAAAAGGCAATATCACTACAGAAATACAAAGGATAATTAGAARTTATTTTAAAAAGTTATATTCTAATAAAATCCAAGATAGTGAAGACATCGATAAATTCCTAAAGTCATATGACCTGCCCAGATTGAGTCAGGAAGATATACACAACTTAAATAGACCAATATCAAGTGAAGAAATAGAAGAAGCCATCAAAAGATTACCAACCAAGGAAAGCCCAGGACCAGAAGGATATAAAACAGAGTTTTACAAGACCTTTAAAGAAGAACTAATACCAATAGTCTTCAATCTATTTCAGAAAATAGAAAAAGAGGGAGTACTTCCAAATTCATTCTACGAGGCCAATATCACTCTAATTCCMAAACCAGACAAAGAYACTTCAAAGAAAGAAAACTTCAGACCAATATCTCTAATGAACATAGATGCAAAAATCCTCAATAAAATTCTGGCAAATTGAATACAAAAACATATCAAAAAGATTGTGCACCATGATCAACTGGGATTCGCGTCACATTAATAGACTTAAAGAACCATATGATCACCTCAATAGATAAAAAAAAAAAAAAAGAAAAAGCATTTGACAAAATTCAGCACCCCTTTGTGTTCAAAACACTAGAAAAACTAGGGATAACAGGAACATATCTCAACATTGTAAAGGCTATCTACGCAAAGCCTCAGGCCAACATCATTCTAAACAGAGAAAAACTGAAGGCATTCCCTCTAAAATCTGGAACAAGACAAGGATGCCCTCTTTCACCACTTCTATTCAACGTAGTTCTTGAAACACTGGCTAGAGCAATTAGATAGACAAAAGAAATTAAAGGAATAACTATAGGAAAAGAAGATCTTAAACTATCACYATTTGCAGACAATATGATTCTATACCTAGAAAACCCAAAAAACTCCAACAGAAAACTTCTAGAACTAGTAAATGAATTCAGCAAAGTAGGAAGATATAAAATCAACACCCATAAATCAAAGGCATTTCTGTGTATCAGTGACAAATCCTCTGAAAAGGAAATGAGGAAAACTACCCCATTCACAATATCCTCAAAAAAAAAAAAAAAAAACCAAAACAAACAAACAAAGAAACTTGGGAATCAACTTAAAGACAGAGGTGAAAGATCTATACAATGAAAACTGCAGAACCATGAAAAAGAAGACCATAGAAGATGGAAAGATCTACCTTGCTCCTGGATAGGCAGAATTAATATTATCAAAATGACCATACTAACAAAAGTATTATACAGGTTCAATGTAATTCCAATCAAAATCCCAATGGCATTCTTCATGGAAATAGAAAAAGCAACCACGAAATTCATCTGGAAAAAGAAGAGACCCAGAATAGCTAAAGCAATCCTTAGCAGGAAGAGTGAAACAGGTGGTATCGCTTTACCAGACCTTAAAGTATACTACAGAGCAATAGTAACAAAAATGGCATGGTACTAGCACCAAAACAGGATGGTAGACCACTTGGTACAGAATAGAGGACAGAGAGACTAACCCACAAAATTACAACTATCTTATATTAGACAAAGGTGCCAAAAGCATGCACTGGAGAAAAGATAGCATCTTCAACAAATGGTGCTGGGAAAACTAGAAATCCATATGCAACAAAATGAAATTGAATCCCTCTCTCTCACCATGACAAAAGTTAACTCAAAATGGATCAAGGATCTAGGAATTAAACAAGAGACTCTGCATCTAATAGAAGAAAAAGTAGACCCTAATCTTCATCACGTGGGGCCCTATAGGCCCCAACTTCCTTAATAAGACGCCTATAGCACAAGAATTAAAACTAAGAATCAACAAATGGGATACATTCAAACTAAAAAGTTTTTTCTCAGCAAAAGAAATAATCTGTGAGGTAAAGAGGAAGCCAACATCTTGGGAGCAAATTTTTACCCCTCACACATCAGACAGAGCACTAATCTCTGGGGTAGATAAAGAACTAAAAAAGCTAAGCACCAAAACAACAAATAACCCAATCAATAAATGGGCCAAGGACCTGAACAGACACTTCTCAGAAGAGAATATACAATCAATCAACAAATATATGAAAAAATGCTCACCATCTCTTGCAATCAGAGAAATGCAAATCAAAACAACTCTAAGATACCATCTCACTCCAGTCAGAATGGTAGCCATTATGAAGACAAACAATAACAAGTGTTGGGGAGGATGTGGGGACAAAGGTACACTAATACATTGCTGGTGGGACTGCAAATTGGTACAGCCAATTTGGAAAGCAGTATGGAGATTGCTTGGAAATCTGGGAATGGAATCACCATTTGACCCAGCTATTCCTCTTCTCAGACTATACCCAAAGGACCTAAAAACAGCATACTACAGGGAAACAGCCACATCAATGTTTATCGCAGCACAATTCACAATACCTAAACTGTGGAGCCAACCTAGATGTCCTTCAGTGGATGAATGGATAAAAAAATGTGGCATTTATACACAATGGAATATTACTCAGCACTTAAAAAGAACAAAATCATGGAATTTGCAGTTAAATGAGGGCATTAGAGAAGATTATGCTAAGTGAAGTTAGCCAATCCCCMAAAAAACAAAAGCTAAATGTTTTCCCTGATATAAGGAGGGTGACTCAAAGTGGGGTAGGGAGGGAGAGCATGGGAGGAAGATTATTTCTAGATAGGAAAGAGGGGTGGGAGGGAAAGGAAGCGGGAAAGGGAAGAGCAAGAATGGTGGAATGTGATGGTCATCATTATACAAAATACATGTATGAAGATTTGAATTTGGTGTCAACATACCKTATATACAGAGATATGAAAAACTGTGGTATATATGTGTATTCAGAATTGTTATGCAAAAAAAGAGAGTACATGTATAATGGCATAATTTGGCGTGAACATACTTTATATACAGAATTATGAAAAATTGTACTGTATATGGGAAATAATGAGTGTAATGTATTCCACTATTGTCATGTATGTAAACAATAAAAAATAAAAATAAAGAACTGAGGCTATAGCTAAGTGGTAGACCACCTCTGGGTTCAATACCCAGTACCATTAAAAAAATGATAATAATAAATAAATCTATTATGTTATACCTCAGTCAATGAATGAACAGATAAGTTCTGATCAAACCTTTTTTGCCTTAAAAAARTTCATGTTTTAATGTAAAGTGCCTCAAATAATTTTCAAAGTGTATAAATTATTAATTTAATGTTAAATTAAATTGAGATTAGCAAGAATTTAACTTATGTCTCCAACCAAAAAAGCTAATAAATTATTTAATTTTTGCTTTTTTTTTTCATTCATGTTTTCAATCAAGGTTTAATATAAATATCTTTCACTCCTAAACCTATTCTGATTCTGAAAATGGCTCTTTTGGTTTGAATACATAAAAAAAAAAAAGCATAACTAGGAGTACTCAGAAGTATAAACTGGAAGAATGAGCAGAAGAGGGTAGAGGCAAAGTATCTCTCCCAAATTTCATAACCTCTGGAGTGCCAACATTCTGTTCCAACCYGCTTTTTCTTACCATCAGGGAAAAAAAAAAAAAAAGACAAAAATTCTACCTTCATAGTGTTTATATTACAGTGGAAAAGACTGAAAATAAACAATGAACATAATCCAAAGTATATAATATGTTAGAAGAGAAAAATTGTCAGGAAAAAATAAAAACCAGGGTATGGAACTTGGGGTGGTACTTTTCCTTTAAAAGTAAAACAACTTGAGACTAAAGAGGCACTGAAGATTTTCTATATACTGTTCAGAATTACTTGAATTTATCAACTAGCTGGCATTCATACATTACTGTCAATTAAATTTTTAAAAGGCAGAAGCAGTTAAATTATTTTTCTTATTAAAAGGCTAATCAAAAGGAGAGATCACCATAGAACAAAACAAAACAAATTCATGGATCAGCTAAATAATAATTATAAGCTAAGTTTAACTTATAAATAATGAATATATACATAACCTTAAATTTTAAAGTTTACATCTGACATCAATTAAGGAAAAAAAGGTAAAAGTTGAAGCCATACCTGTTTTCCCAGTAGGTTTTCCCCTTTAAGAATATCATAGACCTTGGTAGCATTCTCTCTTTGTTGTGCCATCCTACTGTCTCCTACACCCTCGTAAGCAAAATAAGGAAGAATATTTAYAAGAATCTTTGGGAAGCAGTCTATCAGAAGACTTTTCCAATCCTCTTGAATCTGATTAGCAATGGACTTAACCTCATCAAAACAACTTCTAATCACCAGATGTGGAATCAAAACCTTATAACAAGATCTAAAAACATAAAATTTAAAATATAGGTTATATATCTTTTCAAAGTCCTTAAAATAATAACAGGCTTTAATACACTCAGCATTAGGGCATCCCTTTACATCATTAAGCATGCATACTTTAAATTTTATAAAAGGAGAAATAAAGTTAAGTAAATTACAAAGCCACATAAAGAAACAGAGCTTAGCTTACACCACCCTAGCTCTGTGATCAAAAAAGTGGGACTTTATATGTATACATTTCTTACATATAATCAACTTAATGCAAAATTATTATGAAAATGAAATGTGAAAGCAATTTATGAATTTAAAGAACAGATGTAAAACATTGTTATCACCAAAAGATATGAATGATAAGGACCACTAAATTTACTACTGTCTGAATATCCTCCTTAAAGGCAACTATCTACATACAAAAAGCTCTATTAGAGACCTCAAAAAATCCTTAGCACAGAGCATGTTCAATAAATATGAGATGCCATCCCATAATCCTGATGCTTCAATATWACTTTTCAGTTGTATCAAACCTCTTCATTTTCAAAAATTTCTTTTAGAAGTAGTAAAATGAATTCTTTCACATTAAACTTCTAAATCTAATAGGTAACAATGATTAAATAGTCTATTGTCAAACAACAGAAAAGAAAATCAAGGCTGAAATAATCAGCCACTAATAATTTATCTTTGATCTTTTTCCAAATGCAATATTATGAAGTATTAAAGCCAGAAAGGACTTTTAGGGTTTCCTTGTTTAACTCCTGTAGAGATTAAAAAACCAAAGCACAGAAGTTATTTACACAACTTACTCAAAGTTACACAGTTGATTACTGGCCCAGACAGAACCAGATTAAAAAGTCTGGTTTCTTGTGTCACTGGATTTAGAATCTGATTCTAGGACTTCACATAATGAGCTTTAATACACAGATTCTAAATCCAGTGACACCCTTCAATACATTTTCAAACAAGTTGTCTCAGTTTTCAAACTATGCAGCCTCCTACCATTGTCTGTGGAACTATAGGAAGTGGAGGACAGGGGAACTGCCAAACCCTGTTACCTAACTTTCAACATATTTCTCATATGCCATACATAAACCTACCTATAGAAATCTTCAACATTTGTGTAGTTCAATAAAATAAAAGGAAAAGAAGATAAGCTATATTCAGTGTCTTGAAGATTTAGCCATTCCAAAACCAGGTAATCTAAATGAGAAGCCATGAAGTCTTCTAAATTTCTATATCCAAAAGTTTCAGAAACTTTCTCCAAAACCTATACAAACCCAAAAATAAAATGAATAAAAATATAAAAATGTTATAATTTTCAACATTGACAACATATCAAAGGAAGTTCTAAGGTAAAATTATTCTGTCTTAAATCCAAATTTATAAAAATCTAAACATTATATACCACTTCTAATAATTGTAAAGTATAATGGTATACTTAAAAAAAAAAAAAAAGAACTTAACACTGAGAGGTAAAAGGTTGATTTATCTAAGACTGATTGCCTATAGGAAAGTGTACTATAAAACTCCATGGAAACCATGGTGGTAGAATGAGAAAATGTGTATYGGTCCATATTTATCAAATAAAAATCTGCAACAGGAAGGATGAGAACTGCTAAACCATTCTGAGGTAGTGGAACAGGGAAGAGAGACACATTCTATAATACTAAACTGATCTGAGTGCAAGGTTTGGATACAGTCCTCTTTTCCTAATCTTGGACCTAAAAGCCCCAGAGTCTTAGCATTTGACTTCTGGCCTTGTCAGATCCCAGTGTGTTGCCCCAGAATCTACCATGCAAAACCAACTGATACTGCTCCTATCTCCATGTATTTCCCTCAATAAGTGCTACTCCAGAGTGCCTAGTATTGCAGTGATGGGTCATTCACCCTTTTTGGTTCAGTGAATGCCTCACAAAATGCTCTTAAACTAAGTGTAAGAAATCACACTGCATACAAATGAATATACCATTTAAAATGTTATTAAACTGCTTTCTAACACACCCATCTGAAAAAATAAAATTGTTTCCAACTCTTAAATAAGTGCCACTTTAAAAATCCAATTTTAACCTTTTTAATTTAAGGTTATCCAGGAGAATAGGAATGCAGCTCAATTGCAGAGCACTTGCCTAACATGTGAAGTCCTAGGTTTGATCCCTAGGACCATAAAAAGCAACAACAAAATTATACAAGGAAGAGTACAATAAAAATATCCAGACATACATACCTTTTTCACAAGGTGAGGTTCTAATCCATTCTCTTTCACAGATTTGCAAAGGGCAAACAAAGCCTGTTTTTCACAGATAGGGCTACAGTATAAAACCGCAGCTATCATCATCAGTAAAACAGATTTTCTATTATTAATCTCATCTAAAAATTCAGCGTTCTCAGCACTGTGGGACTGCCAAAGAATCATAAAGACAATATTATACATATTTAAACATTACAAATGAATCAACCAGGCTAAAATCAAAGTACTCCATGACATCATCCAAACAGCTTATGAATTTAAAATTCTAAAGTGATGGGGTAGAGAGCASAGATTTAAGAAAATGTGTTTCTACAGTGAGGAAGACTGCTCTTCCTAAGATCTTGTGGAGAATATTAACAAAGAAAACAATGTTTCATTGAGGTATAAAATAATTTTTGAAAAATGGCAAAAAGAAGGTGAGAGACATTAKAAGCTCTTTTTCAACCACCAAGTTTTACTCTTAGGTTGATTTTTATCTTTCTAATATCTTARTATCAGCATTTTACACTTTTAAAAATACTGCTACCTATATTATCAAAGGGAACAATAAAATCATGCAACTAGATAGAATGACATATGCTTTTAATTTAATTTTCAATTACTATAAAATCTCAACAGGCACATAGATAATATATATATATATATATAATCTATCTATCTATATATTTTACTAGTTAAATCTGGTATAGTTTCTCTTCATATTTAGAAAATCTGCTGATCATAGTTCTATATTTTGGTACAAGAATAACTAAGAATCTAATTCCTCTATTACACAGCAATCACTGACATGTTTGAAAATAGCAATGAACTTTCCACTAAGTCAAGACACAAACCTGTATACTCCCTATTTGAATCAAATGTATGATATGTCAAGATCAATGTATTGTCTTGAGCAACTAATTAAAAAAACTACACTAAGATTTCATCTCACTCCAGTCAGAAAATAAATAAATAAAAATAAATCTATTTTTAGGGTTGGGAGTAGCTCAGTGGTACAGTGCTTGTCCAGCTATCATGAATAAGAACCAAGGATTTGAAAAAAAAAAAATTCTACTGTTAGAACCAAACCCAAAATTTTAGCAGTCCTTTAGAAAGTACAGAAGATCTAAGTTCTTCCATAAACTTTGTTCAAGACTATGCTTTTTATTAATGAAGTGTAAGAGAATTTGGTTGTTTTTAACAATTATCACAATTCATATTGTGATCTTCAGATATAAAACTTCTTATGTCTATAAATGTAGAGGAAGAGAATAAAAGGTGGGCAGGGGAGATACTGGGAAATGAAATAAATCAATTATGTTATATACATGTATAAATATGCCAAAATGAAAYCAATATTTTGTATAATTAATATGCACCAATTTAAAAATTCTTGATTTTTTTCTAAAACCTGGTGCTGGGGATCAAACCCTCACACATGCTAGGCAAGCATTCTACCACTGGAGTTCACTTCTAGTCTAGGTCTCTTTATAAATGAACTATCAGATCAGTATTTTCCTAATAATGGACTAATTTAAAATATACAGTATATGTTATCTCTATTTCATTTTACACTATCTACACTCATTTTCCCAATCTACTGAAATCCTTTTCTGAATTCATATTCTTTAATTCAACTATCCATTTCAGTTTCCTATTATCACAAATTTGATAGTCTTTTAGTTAACCACCTCAAGTCTTTTTCAGAAACAAATCAGGACAAAAATAAATGAATAAGTATGATCATTAAGATAATTTTACCATTTTTAAGAAAAGTGTTCTACAGAGAAATGTGAAAATAAAAGGTTTCACTAAAAAAAAGCTAATTTAGATTTTGTGTTAGAATAATACTCTCTTAATTAATTCTTAACCAGATCTTACACAAAAGAGTTTCTTAAATCAGAAAAAAAAAAAACCAAGGAAGTCACTTAAACTCTCATTAAAAGTTGGTTAAATTTTATTTTTCCCCACAAAAACACTACGGATAAGCTGAAACAAAAGAAACTATAATTATTTGACTCATTGTGACATATAAATAATTTCATTAAAATCACATTTGTCTTATAAGCTTTATGTTATAAACTACTGGACACAAACTGTCTTGTGCCAAACTTGATAAAGTAATATGTAGGATATTCATAGAAAGTATGAGATAATAGCAAATATATTACTAAAATTACCACTTCTCTTAGTCCTTCTTGAGCTTTCAGATATGCATTTTCAAAAGCTGTCTGCTGAAGCTTRTACGGAAGTGCTTTCAATAACCTGGAACAATCTCCTCCTTTCATATCCTGAAATAATCTTATTTAAAAAAATGCAAAAACTGAAATAATTCTTAAAATCTCAAACATTACTTTACAAAGCATATTATAAAACAAAAACAAATCACTCTGTGATATAAACATACTAGTACTTTCTTTAAGATTAAATCTGAGGAGCCAGGCATAGTGGCATATACCTATAATCCCAGGGGCTCGGGAGGCAGAGGAAGTCGGATGGAGAGTTCAAAGCCAGCTTTGGCAACTTAGTAAGGCCCTAAGCAATTCAGAGAGACCCTATCTCACTATAAAATTTGGCCTGGGGATGTTGCTCAATGGTTAAGCACCTTTGGGTTCAATCTCCAGTACCAAAAAAAGAAAAAAGATTAAATCTGAGTCCATTTAAAGAGGTTTGATCATCTGCTTAGTATTAAGACCTTGAATACATAATCCAATGTCTCCTAATGAGTAAAGAGGGTCCCAAAATATCTTTTAACTACTGCCCAAATTTGAACACTGAACTCAAACAGCCACAGAAGATAACTGTTCTCTTAYCAAACACCAACCAGAAGAATCTATAAATTCCTGTGTAAACCTGCTCTAATATTTAATCATCCTGAAAGTGGGTAATTTAATAACCTAATGTTCCATTTAAATTTCACTTTATGTGAGAGAGAAAAGTTGATTAGTGCCTTAAGCCAACATCCACATGGTTAAGACAACGTTTTAATCAACTTTGTCCTTTACACTTTTTAGTAATTTTTGGTATTTCTGATTCCTCCAGTTTCTCTAGCCTCTCTCAAAACAGCCCAACATTAAATATCTAACAAGTGAAAAACTCAAAATCAACAAATGCTTCTTTCATGTCATTACTGAATTTCTACTTTTTAATCTAAGAGATTTTTGTTTTCCATGCCACTACTGCACTGCTATATTACATTTAACATATGGTTCTATGTAACCCCAGACCTTTAACTTCAATACATAAATTTTCTACCCTTTACCCATAAAATGCAATAAAGATTTTAAGATCTATACACATTCAMTAGTAATCCTTACAACACTCTACAGTCTTACTAAAAAGAGTTCAAAACTGAGGAATTAGGCACAGAATCTAGTTGATAAAAACAGTACTGTCAGCATATTCAGATTCTGGATACCTTACTTCTAATACTTGTTATGTTATGGCTAGAGCAATTTCTTTAAGGTAATTTTCAATTATTGATCACTTACTTCTGAATAGTTAAATGACTTAAATGACTTTTAGCTTGATTTACCTAAAGCAGCATGTCATTTCTTTTTCAAATACTTTCATTTATTTTACCAATTGTTACCAACTTTCCACATGCCAGATATTGTTTCAGATGCTAAAGTACAGCAAYGGATAGAACAGACAAAAATCAATGCCTTCTAGGAGTTTATACCCTAGTGGAACAGGGAAATGTATTGAAACATTATTTCAAGTGGTGACAAATTTTATAGAGAAAAATAAAGCAGGAAAGTGCTTTCTTTATAGGGATTGCAACAAGAGGAATTTATAGGTAGGTTGCAATTTAGAGTTTTAAAATCCCATGCAGTCCTTAGGAAATTAATATTTGTTTATTCAAGTACTCAAACATATCAGATCCTTCTGATAGAATCATTTCAGTGGCAAASTGTATGTACACCCCAAAATATATAATTGTAATTAGAACAATGTGAAATATGCTATCATTTTATAAACTCACAKAAAATCTTGGTAACATACAAACTTTCAATACTTCTCTTAAGTGGTAGTATATACACTTCACTCAAGTCAATGGCTTATGTTAGTGAGCTACTTTATCTCTCTAAGCCAGAGTTTTCATTTTTAAATCAGAGAAAATAATAGTATCTAAATGATAGAACTGTCATTATTTTCTCTGTAGCATTTAAGAGAAAATACAAAGGGTAGGCACACAGGATATTATACTCAGAAGTTAACTGTGACTGTACTAGACTTTGCATTGCTAACTGCAGCATTCAAAACACTTCAGGAAAACCTAATCATTACCTATTAATTGACTCTGCAGCCAACATGCGAACTTGGTGATGTTCATCAGCAAGAAATTGTGGAAATACTTCATTTACAGAGAAGTCTTTTCCCATTACATTAAGAATAGCCCATTTTGAATAAGGATCAGCCTATTCAAGTGGGAAGAGAGAAACTAAGGTTAAATATGAAACATTAAAGAGAAAAATCACTAACAGAAATGAAGTCTGGGGCTGGGACTGTCGCTCAGTGGCAGAGTACTTGCCTAGCACATGTGAGGCATGGGTTCAATCCTTAGCACCACATAAAAATAAAAACAAATAAAGCCATTCTTAAAAAAAAAAAAAAGAAAGAAAGAAAAGAAAAGAAAAAAGGAAAAGCCATTCTACCCATCTATAACTACAAAAAAATTTAAAAAAGGAAATGAAGTCTGATTTAAAATTTTAATGGTGATCTTACTAATAATATGAAATAGCTCACCTCAAGCAGAGTTTTAAGGCACTTCACAAGTGCCATCCTTACAGAGAATGTACACTTCTTTTCCTTTGTTAGATGCCTAAAATAAAGTAAAATTTTCCATGTCAAATAACCATTTCAATAAAAGCAGTCAGAAAAATCACTAGATATTAAGGTTATTATAGGTCACTTCCAAAATTTCTTTCTTTGCTACTTAATTCTCATTACATGGAACATGCTAAAGTACTTGCCTTTCCAAAAATTCTAGCTAAAAGAAATCAGTTTGAAAATGAATTTGTTTTAGTGTATATTATTTGTCTTATACAATTATGCCTCAATTTGGAGCTATCATACTTGAGTTAACCACATTATAAACTTTATAAACAGTTTTTTTTATAAACAGTTTTTAAAATTTCATTTTTGATTTTTATATCAGAGATTTCAAAACCATATTCTACAATAATTAGGAAGTCCTTATCAAATAGTCTGAGGGCTTTAAGTTATATATATGTGCTCTTCTATAAACTTCATGATGTTATCTCAGACCATTACAATATGCATTAAATAACCAGTTGACAAGGCAAATTGCTACACTTCGGGAAAATGAACAATTCAGTTCATTTAAGTTCACTGCATTTTCTTTATTCACCAAACACGTCAGTCTATTAAATGATTCTAAATTTGCAGAGAAATATGCTCAATGTTTAGAAAGTCAAGTTCTATGAAGAAAAAAAATGTTCTTTAAGAAATTAAGGGGGTAAACACAAATTACAATCTTTTTTATTAAAAGATGAACATAATCACAGAGAATCAGAAGAAATCACTAATGTAGAAATGCTAAGTTTGAATTTGAATCCAGAGGAAGCAAAAGAAAATCAACAAATCTACAAAACAGATTAYACCTACCAAAATGCTCCAATCACTCTAAGGAACTGTCCTTGTGCATCCCTTGTGTGCTCAGTGTCCATATTGCCTTGACTTAGGTTTGTCACAATAGGAAGGACATGGTTTAAAATTGTTTTACAAACATCTTGGTCACGACGATGCAAAGAACACACACTGCTGTGGTGGAAAAAAAGAATTACCTTTATAAGTTTAGCAGAACCCAATAAATTTAAGGTGGACATAACATGTGGTTTTAATTTCTTACGATAGTGGCTTCAGAAGTTCAACAACATCTTCCATTGGCAAAGGATGTTCTTTTCCAGGAAGTTCCTTTAAAAGCACTAGATACTAAAATGGTATAGGGGAAAAAATAGCTTTTTATCATCTTTAAAAAGCATAAATATACACACATACACACAGTTTAAATATAAATTCATTTGCACATGTACACATGCAAAGTTGTAAATATTTTTAATAGGGCATATAAGAAAAAAGGGTTCAAATAGGGTTCTCTTATCAAATAGGGTTCAAATTCATGGTGTATGCATATATGTAACTAACACAGTAAATCAAATTACTCTGTAGAACTCAAAATGAAAAACACTAAAAACATAAATCCCAGACARCAACATTAATTTGTATATTATAAAAACCTGGCTTTATATTCTGGGGCCCTTGAACCCTCACCCATAAAATGGACACATTACTTAAAYAGCCAGACAACTGTGAGGATTAGAGAAAATAATCATAAAGGTGTGGCTTTTATACTGAGAATTCAATAATTAATCATTATTATCATTGTTGCAATTAAGATATTAAAGCCATAAGACATAATATAGCCTGAAACTATATTATGTCCCTATACTCCCAAAATAATGGTTGGTGTAAGAGTAAAATGGTTAAAAATATTCAATTAATAAATTTTGGAAAGCAGAGATAATTATGTACAGGAAAGAAGTACCCTGATCTACCTTCCTATATGGCAAMCATGCATGGGTCTACATGGCAGCATGGATACAAAGGGCTAGGTAACAACTACTAGTTAGAATGGCAGTGATGAAATCAAGCACAGTAGCATACATACACCTGTAATCACAGTTAYGCAGGATGCTGAGAGAGCAGTATCTCAAATTTAAAACCAGGCTCAGCAACTTAGGCCCTAAGCAACTTAGGTAGACTCTGTCTCAAAATAAAAAATAAAAAGCTGGGGATATAGCTCAGTTGCAAAGCACCTCTGGGTTCAATCATCAGTACCAAAGGACTGATAGTGATAACTAGGGAACCAGTTTTTGAGAGCTGCCAAATATTTCCTATATACACTAGAAAAATCTTAAAAGAGATTTTTTTTCTCTTTATCATCTGTATATAGAAAAATATTTCTTATCTCTTGGCAGATATTAACAAAGAAAATTAAATGATCCTTTTCWTTTTAATTTTCTGGTGGTACTAGTATTTAACCAAGAGGTACTCTACCACTGAGGTACATTTCCAGCCCATTTTTTAAAAAATTGAGACAAGGTCTTGGTAAATTAACCAAGTTAGCCTTGAAATTGGATACTCCTGCCTCAGCCTCCCAAGTAGCTGGGATTACAGGTATGCATGCAGTACCATACTGGCCCTTTTCAATATTTAAATGAGAGTTGTATGTGATGGTACTGACYATCTTGAAATGACTTTAAACATCAAAGCGTCAAGAAAAGCATGTAACCCTTTCCTTGGTCAAGGTTAGAGACTTGACTAGGGAGTCTGGCAGGGTCAAACCAGGGACTCCAACAAGACACAACCAAACCTGTTTGCTAGGGCTAGAGGTTCAATGTGCATGTTCAYTAAGGATAAGAACATGGTCAAGATTCCATCAGGGACTCAATATGCATGTCTGACATAATGAGGGACTCATCAGGTGTGTCAAACTTACAATAACCGAAGACATAACCTGGGGACCCAACCAGCAGCTACTCTGTGTCAAGGGTTCTACCCAAATGTTCACAAAAACTGGGTTTAAGGAAAYAGTACACATGGTCAGGAAATTAGTTACAAATAAGGTTACTCAGTAAACTACTAAATGTATATGGGAAGCCAGGACTTTTTACTGCCAGAAAAGGGTACTACAAATTTGGACAGAGAAAAATAAACAAACCCTATAATGATGAACTAGAATACAGAGATCCATCAATAGTATCAGGTCAAAGGTAAAATGCAAACTTCAAACAATGTTATGTGCTATTTTTACAGTCAGCTTCAGATTCATTTAAGTTTTCAAAGGCACTATATGATTCTTACACATCAGGTTACTGTATTAGTCAACAATACYAGATTGAACTGAAGAGCTTCTTTGTACTACTTGACTCACCATGTGGAGATGAAGAGATTTAGTAGGATCTAGTATGCTAGAATCAATTAGCATTAACAATTTTCTCCTTATATCAGCTGCTCTAAATGATACAGGATTGGCTTGAGACGAGGTTACACACATACACAAGAACTTGAGCATGTCTAAAAGTAGTAGATCTTGCTTTGACAGATATTCTTCAGCTAACGGATTCATGGCACCTAAAAAACCAAAAAGCAAACAAAATTCCTTCACTCTAAGAGGCACAGTAGTCACATACTTTGAGTACTAATTCAAACATCTYTCCAACTTCCCAGTGTGCAAATAAATCTATTGTGGGATTTTACTTCTTTATTTTAAATTCTTCCCATGAAGAACAAAATAGGAAACTAATAAATACAACTAAAATCAGAAAAACCAAAAAGTATACAGTAAAGGAACAATCTTAACAGACTCAAAGAAAAAATAAAAGCATAAAGTTGATACCAGTGAGACCTTTTCTAATGCCAAATTATTATAAAGAGGTAAAAGAAATCCAAAGCAGTAAAGATTTATTTACCAACAGTACTTTGGCTCTCCCCAGAATCACYTGCATCACTCACACTACCAACAGGGTAATCTTTAAAAAGATCCATGGAAGACAAATCCTCTACCTCCTGTAGATTTTCATCAATATCATCATTCATTGAGTCTACTTCTCCATGGTCAAGTGGCTTTCTGATAAAGGATGCCTTCAAACAAGAGAAATAAAGATATTCAAGTTGGCTTCTTTCAGAATCATGGTGTAGTTAAAATTCACCCGATTGAAAATTCACAGGAAAATGGGTATACAACCTATGTCTAGATAACAGAATAATATACAAATTTTTAAAATAATTTATTACATTAAGAAGTCCTACAATTCCATTGTATTTGAATACCATATCACCACTTTGTACCTCATAAGTAACTATAACTAAAATTTAAATACATAAAAATCAAATTTAAAGAAGTTTTATGTAATTCCCAAAATTAATGGGGATATGGGGAAAAAACATAAACTGTTACGACTTTTGGGGGAGAATGACAACATCCTTCGAAAAGTAAAATTCAGCCAGGCGTGGTGGCACATGACTGTAATGCCAGCAGCCTGGGACGCTAAGATAGGAGGATCGAGAGTTCAAAGCCAGCCTCAGGAACCGTGAGGCATTAAACAACTCAGTGAGACCCTGTCTCTAAATAAAATACAAAATAGGGGGGAATTCCAAGACGGTGGGCTAGAGGGAGGCAGCATTCTGTGTCGCTCCGTGACCCAGATTTCACCTACTCTGAATACTGCATCTCAGAGAGTGTAAGAGGACCCCTATTCAGCTGATTTCCGCACTAATCACCAGTGCTGTGACCCCCAGTGAAGGGCTCAGAGCCTCAGCATTTGAGYAGGACTCCAGACCCCTGACTCCCGAAACCCAAAACCCAGTGCTAGCCCATGCACAGCTCGCAAGCGCCTTATCAGAATCACCTATCAGCACTTCTGCAGAACTCCAGACTGCTCCGCTCCCACACAGGTCACTTAGCTACTACCTACCCACAGCACAACGCCACTGCCCAGCTCCCCCCACCTCACCAGACACCCAGGCACTGAAAGCAGACCGCCTCCATCTTTGAGAACCATTCTCGAGCCAGACAGGAGGAGGAAGACGCGCCAGGC